ATTGTTTGACATTGTTTTGGTTTTGGTATTCACCTGTATAAAGATTTTTAAAGAAAACAATGTGATATATAGCTCCCTACCACCACTTCCAAAGATAGCCGCGCGCGTAGGATTGGAATACAGCCGATGATCGAGTACAAGAGAGTGGTCATGAACGCAATCATTACCGTTATGGGAATGGGGAATTAATCTCGAGAGTGTGATACAAGAGGGTCAAGAAATGAGTGCATTTGGTATCATGCTCTTACCGACGATTCTCTTTAGCCCTTGTTTATTTGGTTTTTCATCGCTATTGTCCTCTTTTATCACATTCGCGTGAATTCCAATGTGCTGTACGAGCCAGTCAATGAATGTTAACTAAATTTTTTAAAAATTCAATGAGTAGATTTGAATTTACAAGCATGTTAATTAGCATGTTACGCTTGGGCCATTTCCCATGATAAAACGTCTGAAACCCCGCGGTAAAATGATTTTTGAGTGCAACCGACATTTCCCAAGGTAAATTCACCGTGGTGAATCACCATAGATACGTCAAAAAGAACAAAAAAGCCGCTCATGRCATTTAACCAGCTAAATAAGCTAGGTTTTTCTGTGTCACAAGGTAAAACAACCAATCACAGGGCGTTGTCAGGATAATCCAGGAAATCACATGCTGTGCTGGTCCAACGAGCTGACAAATATACTCAAACGTCTCTCGAGATACTCTGAAGTTTTCCTTCCTCCAGTTATTAAGGCATCTGCTGTTTAGGATTTCTTGAAACCAATTCTGTGGTCTGGGAAGAACCCAAACGCTTCTAGGTGCTCTAACAAGTAGTTGTCTACGACGAAGTTGTCGGAGGTAAATGAAACCTACTAACATGCCAAGAAAATTGAGCATTTCAGTCTCGCCTTCGTCTTGACCTCCTTCTGAAGTACTGCAGCACTATAGGTAGGTATGATCCAGTTCGGTGGCATAACAGCATCAGAAACGAAAACTTAACTGCTAAATCTCGAGAGATATCCATGAACAGCGATATATCACGGCAAAACATTCCATTTGCGCGCTAAATGTCGAGGTCAACAGGTTAACAATTCACCTCGGAAAAATTGATCTGTGTGTAACCGCTGTCAACGAGGTAAGTTAAAACTCCACGGAAATTCGACCAAGACAAATTTACCATGGGAAACCAAATCAAAGAAGTGTAACCACGGCTAATAGTCCAAAAATACAGTTCAGAGCCAAGTTAAGTGGACCTAATATTTTGAAAGGTCAAATGGTACGATTTCTATACAATTTTTACCTAGTATTCCAAAGTGATTTACCAACTTCTTTTGATTAAGAACAAAAACTTCATCAAAAATTTCATATTTTCCTTGAAACGTCTAAAAAAATTCTGAATATTGGATTGTTTGCTGTCGCGTATTTGCGATTTGAAGTTGGAAGGTAGCGCGCGGATAAAACCCCATGGAGCCACCTTAATCAATCATGGTAAATTTATTTGTTTAAGATATAATGGTGCTGTTTTTTGGAACTCTATTACTGATCGATATAAACAACTCAGTGTTATACCTTTTTCAAAAATAACTTAAGACAGATCTCACTTCTAAGTATAGTCTAGGATAGTAAACAACTCACCAAGACACCAGAAGTTTCAACAAAATCGGTGAACGTCCCCCATACATGTAGCACCCCCTGCCTGGTTTTAAGTGGACACACTCTTAAGAATATCTATTCCCATTCAATTGGCAGCGTTTTTACCTTAGAACAATTAGTAAAAAGACTCAGCTATGAATTGATGTTGGCACGTGTTAGTGCTTCAGCAATTTTAACATTAAAATTTAAGAACGTTAGTTTAATTTGGTGGCTTTAGGGAAATTATTTAAACTGCAGAGTTATTACATCAAACTTTACTCTCGGTATCCTTGTAACGTTTCAATGGCTGGTATTCTTTATCTAATACACTCTTCTGTAGTTCTTGGTATGCTTTTGGACTTTCTGAAGCCAGAATACCTTTGTTACCAAAGTCCCTGTGCTTGCGATCGAGAGGCTCATACAGGGGTGTCGCGTTAGGTGCCTCCCTTTGAAGCTCTTGGTAATGCTGTGGTAATAAAGGTACTTCACTTTGTGCGCCGTCAGAAGGGCCACGGGCAGGTTTCACATTTGCTGCTATTGCAGCTGTTCCTTCATCTATATTTTCATCCATCGTTTCATAAAGGTCTTCTTCAGTCTTTAGCATTGGAGCTGTTGGTGCTGTTATGACATGTGAGCTGTCCTCCATTGGATGGGCAATCTAAACATTATTACAATTCATTTGTTATTTTATAGAGGCAAGTGAATATATATTTTTGGAATCTGAATTGAGAAAATCGTTATAAAATATTGAGAATGTTACAAAATACATACAAAAAAAATCAGTTAATACAATATTTGGATGTTATATGACTTTAGCCACGTATCTGACTGGCAACTTTCATTTGGTCCAGGTTTGATCACAAAATGTCAACCATATTTAAGGAAAAGCAGATTACCTCATAAGCTTCGAGATTCTTGTCTTGCACGCTTGACAACTTTCTAAAGTAACAATATGAATGCAAACAAGGAAACAATTGATGCGTAAAAACGAACGAAAATAATAAACAAACAAACGAATTTAGTAATTAAATAAACAAACAAATACCTTCTTCCTGTTCCTTTTTCTATAATACAAGAAAAGAAAGAAAATTCGCGTTCATCAATTTTTTTTAAATGAATAAAATTACTTTTAGGTTAAAGAATTTGCTGACTAACTAGTATTTAATCGTGAAGTGCTCGTATGCCTTTACACAATATTTTTAGAATTGATTCTTTAGTACATAATTTTCATCGCCAAAGCAGCCATCCACCTCATAGACGCGGTTGAATTTTGGAACACGAGTTTTGCCGCGGCTGTGTTTAAGCTGAACTGACTGGACTGAACTGTTATAATCGAGAAACGTCGCCGAAGGGGAGGTGGGTGGGGTCAATAGCGAACCTGAGCAAATGAGGTCGAAACATTGGATTTTCTCGCTTAAATAGGCAACTGCCGACCCGGGGGTATTCATAATGCTTCTCACCTAGGAATCTCACCCAGAAAGTCATGATAACATTCTGCGCGTACTCGTTTCATGGCTGCTTTAGGGGTGAAAATAAATAGTGGATACAGTAGTTGATTGTGAAAATATTTCGTCATTTGAATGTCGGGTCTTTGAGATACGAAGGTTTATATTCCCAATATGTTAATGACTATGACGTAACATATAAGGGATCATTTAATATACAACACTGCACTCGTTCTGGAATACAGTTTTTCAAAAACATCACCCTTATACTCGTGACTCACGTAAAGGCTCTCAAAAATTTGTTCTCAAAAAATGTCCAGCGTTCAATATCAAAATTTTCCACAAAATGACTCAAATCCCTTATGTTACGTCATAGTCATTAACATATTGGAAATATAAACCTTCTATTCGTATCTCAAAGACCCGACATTCAAATGACAAATTATTTTACAATCAACTATTCACTTTTTAAAGAATCAATTCTGAAAATATTGTGTAAAGGCTTATAAGCACTTAAATCTTCAAATATAGATATATTAAGCAGAAACAATGCAACTGTGTATAGTACAAAAGTTTAGTCCTCGCGGTGCACAGGCGGCATAAATATGTTGTCCTACAAACGACCACACACATTTCTGCACCCCAACCCTCCATACAAAGTATGTTTTCAGGGTTTGTCCCCCATCACTTACGCAATATTGCCTGCGCTAGTAAAAATTTAATCGCCGGAGGCAAAACCAATAGATGCCTGAATTTCTAAATGATCTCAAAAAGAGGAAAAAGGCTGCATATTTCAGCTCTAAGGGAGAAGCAATCTTCTCTTAGTTTTTTATTACCTTTCTTGGACGACTTTCTGCGGCATACRAGTAATAAGGCTATGACCAGGCCTGCAATAACAAGGCCTGCAACTACTACAACACCAGCAAGTATTCCATTAATTGCGTCGCCAGCTGGTGGACGGGGGAAAGATGCTATAGACAGTAAACACAAGACACATCAGACGGACAAATAAACAACAATATAAACAAAACAAAAACAAAGACAAACAACTATGTTATAGAAAACTCAACCACTGTTTGTATAGGACATAAATCAGTAATCATCATCAACACCACTCACACCAACACCACTACACACCAATAGAAATGACTGTGAAAAGCTCACGGCACGAACGCGGTCGAGACGCGGCAAGACACACCCCGGATAAATCGCATTGCGATATGTATTCTCCATCCAATCAGATAATCGAAACACGACATGAACACTGCGCGGACACGGTGACGCCAAAGTCACGGCACTGCCAGACCAATCATATCTCGCGCGAGAAAGAAATCAGCCAATCGAAATTCTAGAAAACATGAGCTTTTCGCAAAATTGTTCTAATAATTCTTTTGGTTAATAAGCCATTTTTTTTACGCGACGAAAGGACAGTATTTAAGGATAACATGCCTTTTTTGGTTTTTCCATAAACTCCCGTATATTTCCACAGACTTCTGCTGACGGCTGAATTAATCTTCATCACGACATACACCTTGAACAGGAAGTTTCCTTCTGACGGAAGCCCAGATACTGTTGCCCATGTAGTTTTAAAACCATCTTTCGCAGGATAATACACAATATTATCTCCACATTCCTCAGCACAGTTGTTACCCCATTCATACTTACACCAAAAACAGTCAATGGAATAGGTGAAAGATGTGTTAATGTTCTTAATGGCAGCCCAGGTTATTAGAACGGCATTTGAATTCAATGTCGTAGCATTGACAAATGACGGACCGTTTGGCAAAGCTGTTTTAAAGAAGAAAAACGTTTTCAAGTTGTTTTGGAGGGAAAGAAATCTTAAAATTGACTTGAAAAACATAAAACTGCACCTTTTCCCCCAATCCACCACACCGCGGTGAAGCAGAATGGACAAGGATCATTGTCATAGTCATTCCGAAACTGTCATGCTCTCCGTAACTGTGGTATTTTAATACATAATGCATACCTATATTTACCTATTTACTATGAAATACCTTCACATGGGAAAGAAATTGGAGAGTTCTTCAACTTGTAAAACCCATCTTGACAAACACAACTCTTATGATTTGTATCAGGTGCAGAATTCTCTGGACAGGACTGGCACTGTGTGTTGCTCATTTCATTTTTATATTTCCCAGAAACACATCCTAAAAATAATAGTTGCAAAGCGGAAAAATAAGATCAGTTCATCAATAAAAATATAATGATTTCAATTATTAATCATCAAAACTAAAATTATGCAATTGATAAATTCGTTAAGTGTGTTGTTCTCTTCCTTGCCACAAGGATTTCTTCTCCGAGTTCTTCAGTTTTTCTTCTCTCCATTAAGATTGTATGTGAGCTGAGAGTTGTACACTCATTATTTGAAAGTAGCAGTAAACTTTGTTTGATGTGTCATTCTCTCCCTTGCCATGAACGATTTTCTCCCTGTTCTCTGTTTATTCTCCCTCCATAAAAATCAACATGTACGTAAGTTGAGTGTCGAACGCATGAGTATTAAATGTAGTGGTAGTGTGAAGCACATGATCTATTCAAAAATTGTTTGTGGTCACAATTTTCTCCATAAAAATATAACATTTTTATTAATTAAGAATTTCTTAAGGAAAAATAATTTTGACAATCATCATAGAAGGGAGTACGCCTATATATATATGTGGTAAATTTCAAGTTTGCAAATACGCCTGGCAAATTATTTCAAAGGTGATGACTTAATGAAGGAGAGATTGGACTCCAGGTATCTGATAAAAAAGGGTTAAAAGTTTTAAAGGTCCGATTTAAAACGATTTTTTTAAATTCCTGAGTATGTATATTGATAATTTTTTAAATTTAATCAACCTTCACTAAGATTTTCCATGCTATTAATTCTTGTTTACTTTATTGAAGAAAAATTATAGGCACACTTTATTTACTAGCGAATCAAATACTAGTAATAATTTAATATTAATTAATCATATGTAAACAATGTCATTCTTACTTTTACAATGTGGTTCTGGATTTTCAGAGTATTCGTATACTGGCTGACACAAACATCCCACACTATCATTCATCTTCCAATTGCCATCGCTCATGCAAGCAGCCATCAGAACAGAAGTGTTCCTTGAATGTTTATCTGTACACTTTCCTTCAACTTGGYTAACTTTTGAATTGTTTAATGGCGATGCAGTTTTTACAAAAGTCACAAGATTTGTTCCGTTTTCTGGGCAGTAATTGAATGAAACAAGAAGACCTAGCAGACTCAAGCAGGCTCCTTCATCGTAAAGCGCAAGGTATAATCCTTTACTTTTTGTCTTTAAAGAAACTTTTAACATATTATAATCCTTAGCTCCTGTTTGTCGATCGGGTACATTTGTTGGCAAGGCCTGAGCAAGCAAGTCAAATGGTGTTTCCAAAGGGTTTGGTTTTGGTGCAGTGTTTGATGTTTGATACCCGTATAGTTTAAAATACTCTTTGCAGTACTTTTGGCCCGATCGGCATTTGCGCATTGTATAATTAACGACAATGTCAATCAATATAGCATCTTTGAGATCAATGAAGTTAGTTCGTAACCAGTTTTTTGGTTCTCCGACGTTCGTGGAGCTGTCACATACCGAGTATAGGTTTTTTTCGTAAGCAAACCACTGCAACAAAATGACCAGAAAAAAAAAAAAAAACTTAATTACTGTATTACAAGGAAAATAAGGAGAAAAAAACCTGGACAATACTCTGTTAGGCGTAATGTTTTCCCATTTCAGACCTTGTGTCCTTCCCCTAAGAAGAAGATTTATTGTTTGAGTCTCATTCATATCTTGTAATCTAGTTTTTACTAGTCTGTTAACTAGTATCTACTCTACCCTTCGGCAGATCCTGGTGAGTATGATAGAGTCTTATTTTAATTTTTTTATCAACCAGGTGATTTTACCCAAACAAAGTAGCTAATCTTTGATTAGAGTGAAGGCATTTAACCAGTAAAATAAGAATTATTAGCCAACGTGTAATAGTCAAATAGACACAAAAGAAAACAATGGCATTTTAATTAAAAGTCTACCAAAGTGTGTTAGTCTAATATCTATTTCGCGGGTTTAATTAGCCTCCTCCGCAGGCATCTCTGTAGCTTTCTCTAGTTTCTTTAGCTATTAACGAGCCGGAGCCTGTGAAGCCAAGAAACAGCTCTCTAGAAAGATATAATATGTGAGAGTTTATAGGGTTTAATGACTTTACTCTAAGATAACCTCAACATGAGAAGATAAGCCATAATTCATGTTAGTAATCTGTTATTGAAATACAAATGATTTTAGTGGATCTTTATTATTTGATACGATTTCTAATAATTCTTACCGTTAGAGATATCCTCACGTGTGAAGATATCATGTGATATCTTCAAATTCAAAGATATCACTTTGCAGTAATAGAGAAAAATAGATATAATTTCATTGAATATCATATATTGAAATGAAAAAATAGTCAAGGGAGTGACAGGAGAGAATCAGAATTGATGTAGCAGACACTCATTCCTAACGAGCCATAACCAGGGTTTAAAACTACGGTCAGACATCGGAAAACGTCCGGCCAGAACTGGGACCTTTGCATTCTTGCTTTGCCGGTCATTTTTACCAGTAACGCTAAGTCAGAAATGAGGTATGACTAAGCTAAAACTAATTTGGCCCGTGATCATGACCAGCGACCGGATCGACCGTTATTTTAAGTCCTGGCCATAACTTGTGAGTAAAGTTTGTCAGGCCTCTTCAATTTTACGCCCTCTGCAAAATCCAACAAGGTAAATTCAAATTCAACCTGTGAGTTAGAAGTGCCTTCTAAGTTGGTGGACATATAACGCACACTTAGAAAAGGCAACATAATGTCAATCAGAATTTAGACGTGTTAATTTTTGGAAAACATTGTAAAAAAAATCGCAGACCATAATAATGAACATTGGATATCTTCCATCCAATTCACGAGGAGAATCACCAATGTCCTCTTGTAAAGAGCTCGATCCATTAATGAATTTCCTTTAATTGTTATCTCTCCTGTTCTTCAATGAATTCTTTAACTTCTCAATAATATCATTTATCTTGATTTTGAAATCTCGAAGTTTATCTCGACCCAGCTGTTCAACTACTTGAGACTCCTTTTCTAGTATTCTTGCTCAGCTCATCGAGCAGACATCTGAACTCCACCATATATACACGTACTTTCAAGAACGTTGTCATACGAAAATAGAACATTAGTGATTAAGTGAGATAGGAATTATATTAAAAAACAAAAGAAGATCACTGAAGCTGAACGTTTTTCTTTGTCTTTTAATGTATTCCTTTCTCACTAAATTACTAATGTTCTAATATTGTATGACAACGTTCTTGCAAGTAGGTGTACACTTGATTGCAGAAAGGTTGTAATATACATTTATACATATATCTGATAAGATGCAAGATATCAAATGAGATGCAAAACTTAAAAAGTAACTTATTTGGTCTTACTTATCTTCTATTTTATCAGAGACAGACGTATTGCACAAACTCAAGTTAAAAATATATTTTCCACAAAATGCTGTGGCTAAGCAATCGTATTTACGCATGTTTTAAATTCTGCATCTCATTTGATATCTTCTTGCATCTCATTAGATATTTGTATAGATATATATATATTTGTTTGAGAAGAAAAAGTCAAGGCAACATTTTTCCCGACAAGCCTGTTTCGTGAATTGCTTCACTCTTCAGGGGATTTAATGATAAAAATATTCGTTACTATCATTTATATAGAAAAAGTATACATAATTAATTAGTAAATAAAAATGATAGTAAATATAAATGATAGTAACGAATATTCTTATCATTAAATCCCCTGAAGAGTGAAGCAATTCACGAAACAGGCTTGTCGGGAAAAATGTTGCCTTGACTTTTTCTTCTCAAACAAATATTCTGCTCTACTTCTATCGATGTATTGAGCACTATTTTACGGAAAATTGATTCACAGATTTAATTGTTGTTGATTGACGGCAGCGTCGAAAAATCAATCAAATTTCAGCGTGTAAGAACCATAGAGCCGTGGTTAGTCTATTACCTGTGGCATTGAAAACCGCAGTTAGCATGAAATCATTTTTAACTTACGCCTCCTCCTGTAGATTGAGAGCCTATTTTCTTACTGACTGTAAACCAGCCATTTTCTGGCCTACTTAGGAGGAATTCTGTGAAATCAAAGAAAAATATACTTCAAGATTGCTATAAGTTTATTACAAGAAGAGGTTAAATTGGGTTTCAATCGTCTCTCTCTCTCAAGAGAATAGAGTTCTTGAATCGAGAAACAAATTTGTTCTTTTTGCCAATGTTTATAATTTGTCAATAAAATTTATGAAATGGATTATTTCCATGAAATGAAAATATACATATTTAAAAAACGAGTCAATAACTCTATTCACGAATTTTCCATCATTAAAATTTATAACGGCATTTACCCAGTAGCACTGATGGGCTAATTTAAGTTGTAAGACGCAGGACATGCTGTACAGCAATCCTTTTCGAATATGACGCGCATTTCTGAACGATGACGTCAAAAGAGGATAGATCCTGGAATGTCCCCGGATGTTGAGATACAGGTGCATAGGAGTAGTATAGGCCGCACCGCACGGGCCGGATTTTGGACTGGGAAGGGGACGGGGAAGGACGGGGAAGGACGGTGAAGGATGGGGAAGGACGGGGAGGGACGGGGAAGGACGGGGACATTAATAATTCATCAAATATTAGCATAAAAGAACAGGGAGAGTATTGTTTCGGGTTACCATGACGACCAATTGACGTCATGAGTTTATTGTTAGGCAAGCGTTTTCGACAAGCAGAAGGACGAGCAGGACGAGCACATTAATTATTCATCACATATTAGCATAAAATGACGAGCAGGTATTGTTTTAGGTTGCCATGACGACCAATTGACGTCATGAGTTTATTGTTAGGCAAGAGTTTTGGACGAGTAGGACGAGTACATTAATTATTCATCATTAAAAAGACGAGCACACCAATTGTTTATTAAACCATTACCATAAAATGACGAGCAGGTATTGTTTCGGGTTGCCATTACTTCATAAGACTATTGTCAGACAAGTTTGGACAGGTCAGGGGATACTAACAGACCGCTCAGTAGCGGATAGAGTGATGTCAATCCAACTGATGGGTTGAGCAAATCCTTGATAACATCCTTCCATAATTCTTCATAAAAACAAACACCAAAGTTGAGGAATCGTCCAAGCCTACATATCATTTTATGAATTATAATTTAGTGACTATTGTGTCGAAGACAATACAATGAATGACTCATAAAGAAGAAATAATAAATGCTGCTAATTGTAAAACATCTTTATTTATAAACTAATATAAAAATACAATGCTCATTCTTCATCGCTACTTAAATGAAAAGTTTCTTGCTCGTTACTTCTGGGTGATTGGTGATGTATAGTGTTACAACCATGGCAGCGTGTAAGCACGCTTTTGAGCGTTTTCCTATTGACTGCAAATGCAAATTTGGATGTTCACAAATGTTACAGTGTCTTGACCTAGGAAAATTTACTAGCTTTTCGTGCCAAAGACATCGTGGACATTTCACTATTCTGTTCACTTTGACATCATTGTTTCCACAGTAAACACAGGGATCTTCTGTCTTACTTTCCTCATTTTCTTCTTCTTCCACCTCTCCCTGGTCTTGTTCAGAGTCATTAGTCTCAGAATTTCGGTCCTCCTCCTCCTCGCTACTTGATTCTTCACTATCAGATTCATCGGATTGCTCTTTATTATCCTCAAGTTCTTCTTTTTCCATTAAATCGCTTAAGACTTTTTTGTTTCGAATCCATTTCTTATTAATCCCCAATTCTGCCAATCCTTCCAGGAACGAATTGAGGGCTCTAGGTTTGAGAACATCAAGATTTTAGGGCAACAATACATAATCTAAGAGGTCTGTAATACTGGTGACAGGTATGCGCCGCTGGTTTCGTAAAAGCTCACCGCCTGGTGTCCAGAACACAATATTTTTTGAAGCCATGCTATGAAAAAGATCCTTGGCATCTGACGCTGAAACACCATCCGAAAGATTTTGCAAAATATTCTGAATAATCGGTTCTTCTTCACTTTCTTCTTCATCATTGGACTCTTCATTGTCTTCTTCGTCTTCTTGTTCCCGCCATTCCAATTTTCTTTTCATGTTGATGTATCCCCAACTGCTTCTTAAATCAAATGACTGCCCGCGCCTACATCACTATCCATTTATAGAATCAAAAGTCCCGCTGTAAAAACTGGAGTCAGTAAATCCGAAATGAATCCACCCCCCTCTTGTACAAGAATTTGTTTCTTTTTCTTATAGGGTACATCAGGATTTTCTTATAGGGTACATCAGGATTGTGAAGATCATAGATTGACTTTTGGTAAGGTCGCAGATGATTGCGTTCTTCTTTTGACATAGGGAAGTATTTGTGCAAATTATTATGAATTAACTTGAATAATTGCATGAACTTGTTCGGATGTGGCAGTGCAAGAGTCGAAGATAACCAAGATTGTTCTTTACCACACGAGACAAGATGAATGAATGATGCCGGAATGGTGGTCCCTAAGTAATTATACTACAACTCGTACTTGAGGAGTAGAGGAGGAGGAGGAGATGAGAAGGAGGAGAGGAGGCGGAGGAGGAGGAATATTAGTGAGGAAAGAACTTGTTTCATGGCATTTAGCTATAAGTCACCGTCGAGGTAACATGGATATGGAATGTTCAGTGTGTCAAACACAGTTTTCTAGAAAAGATAATCTAAAGAGACACATGAATAGAAAACACAAGGATCGGACCTTTCCACAAGCTGGAATCACAAGGCCAGAAAAATCATGTATCCCTTTTTACTTGGAGCATCCATTTACTTGTATGGTAGGAGGAACTACAGGATGTGGAAAACCCTTTTGGGTACAGCATTTGTTGGAGCATGCGCAAGTGATGATCAACCCTCCACCTCAGCGTACCGTATACTATTATTCCCAGTGGCAACCGGCTTATCTAGAAATGTTAAGAACCGTGCCTGGCATTGAATTTATCAGAGGTATTCCGCAGGAACTGGATCAAGATCACTTTTTTGATGTAAATGTACGAAATCTTATAGTGATCGATGACCAGATGACCGAAACTTGGAATGATAAGCGAGTTTTAAACTTGTTCACTGAAGGATCGCATCATCGCAACCTGAGTGTCATCTACACGGTACAGAATATCTTTTTTTTATCAAGGAAAAGTTATTCGAGGCATTAGTTTGAATTGTCATTATTTGGATATATTCAAGAATCCAAGAGATAAACTTCAAATTCTCAGTCTAGCCAAGCAAATGTATCCTGGAAAAACTGAATATTTTCTGCAAAAATATGAACAAGCCGTGAGTAGACCTTTTGGATATCTCTTCATTGACTTGAAGACAACCACCCCAGACGACTGCAGACTGAGAACCAATGTCTTCCCTGGAGAGAAGAAAGAGCAAAAGAAAAATGTACCTGAGGAATTGCTTCATTACCTTGGTAGACAAAATCTTGTACTACCCCCAGAGATTTCGAGAATTCAAAGCTTGAAAGATCAAATGAATACCCTTCTCAAGGATCCTTATGAAGATAAAAGTCAAAAAGAAAGGCAATACGTTCAACTCCAGAACAATTATCTGCGTTACACTAGGGACAAAATAAATTCAGGTGCAGTGGGATTAGGTAATTCAACATCCCTTAGTAGCTTCGCTGCGGAAATTCAGTCACCATCAGACCAATTATCTATCGAGCCCGCAAGGAGTTCACCGCTACCTGCTGAACCTTCTCACTTCCTTCCTCCACCCGCATTATCACCTATCACTGCCTCTCCTGTGTTACTCTCCACTGAACCACAAATGCCAGAGACTCCTACATCATCTTTCATGGCATCTTCTCCTTTGATACAACCACCTTCTTTGCTACTGACCCCACCTGATTCCCTCCCAAAAAGTAGAAAACGACCACGTATTAAATTACTAAACTACCTCGAAGGTGAACCAACAAAAAGCCTGGAAGAAGTGTGCGTCGGTCAGTACGGGTAAAAAACCGCTGCATTTCCACGCGGGCGCATGACCGGAATAGTTGGCGATGTATTTACGCAATACAACATAAGTATACAGTTACCATTCCCTAAAACGGAATACATGAAAAAAAGCTTTAGTTATGATGGGGCTAAGCTTTGGAATTCACTAACTGAGGA